GGGAGCTGAGCGCCGTGGGCCGTGAGACGCCTGCAGGGGTTTCCCGTCTCCTGCTGACAAGGGAAGAACAGTAGCTACACGGGCGTGAAGCGGAAAATAGAAATCCCGGCCCCGGAGGGGCTCAGCATTAAAGGAGGAGCGGAGCCGGGCCTGGCTCAGTGGCTGAGCGCCAACCCATGAACCAGGAGGTCGTAGTTGGCTTCCCGGTCAGGGCACAGGCCCGGGCTGTAGGTCGATCCCCAGCAGGAGGCAGCCGATCGGTGCTTCTCTCTCATCATGGATTCTTCTCTCTCCCTCCCTCTCCCTTCCTCTCTGAAATCAATAAAAACATACTTAAAAAATAAGTAAGTAAGTAAATGAAGGGTGCGGCAGAGCTGGCCTGACGGGTGCGATCCCACGGCCGGAGCGGGTGTGGGAGGGAGGGTGAGGCTACCTACGGCTTGGCCCTGGCGCTGCTTTTGCTGTGACCACAGGAGACGGAAAGCTTGTTGTGATTGGGGGTGATGAGTGTCAGTCACGCAGAGCCACGTGGAACCTGGTTCTCGATGCGGAGGCACCTCCACGCGTGGATTGGTATTTTCAGTCGCATCGTCATCATCATCATCGTCATCGTCATCATCGTCGCTACATATACAGGGCGGGCAAAAGTAGGTTTACAGTTGTGAGTACACAAAACAGTTTATTCTCACAATAAACCATCGTATTCTTTTCCCAACAAACAACTGTAAACCTACTGTTGCCCCCATTTTATGGATATGATGCCTATATTGACAATTTTTTCACTCATTTGTTAACTCATTTATTCAGTGAGGAGCCAGCCCTCTGTTATGAAAATGCTGCTAATGGCCAAGTGCTGGGGTCCCACCCCAGCAGGTCCAGGGGTCCCCAAAGGTGTGGACGGAGTCGGTGAAGACTATCCACCCTCTTCCTACGGTGGAATCCTATCCGTCCCGAGTGCAGGAGGGCTTACCTAGGGGAATGGGGGGGCTTACCTAAGGGTCCCTGTTCAGGCGCCAGATGCTGGGGTCCAACCCCAGCAGGTCCAGGGGTTCCCAAAGGTGTAGACGGAGTCGGCAAAGAAGGAATGACATAGAGACAGCGTTCAGTTGATCAGCAGCCTAGCCAGGATCTCTAGCCAGGATCTTTAGCCAAGTTCTGGCCTGGATCTCCAGCGAAGTTCTGGTTAGGTTCTCCAGCCAGGTTCTGTAGCCATGTTCCCTCGCTAGGTTCTGTCCAGGTTCTCCAGCCAGGTTTGGTCACCAGGTTCTAGTCAGGTTCTCTTGCCATGTTCTATCCAGGTTCTGTAGCCAGTTTCTGTCTCTAGGTTCTTCAGCCAGGTTCTCTCGCTAGGTTCTGTCTCTAGGTTCTGTCTCCAGTTTCTGTCCAGGATCTTTTGCCATGTTCTCTCCAGCGAAGTTCTTCTGTCTCTAGGTTCTGTGTAGGTTCTGTGTCTAGGTTCTGTGTAGGTTCTGTCTTCTAAGTTCTGTCTTGTTACATCTGTATTTATACCAGTTGATTCCAATCCTATCAATCTCTATTCCAAAGGTTAGGGCGTTTCTTATCTCCATTCTAGGGAGTAAAGATTATGTAGCTTAAGCATGATTGTTCGTAGTTAAAGTGATTAATTACACGCCTGGCACTTAGTTAAGGGGTTTTATCCCCTCCCTAACTTCAGGGGAAAATCCCTACCTGGGGAAACAACCTTTCTCAGAGAGGTGACCTTGGTTAAAACACATAGTGCCAAGAAGGTGAGCAAACATATTAAGAACAGTATGCCATATACGCCAGGTCCCTTGAAACAGCAAGGATGGACCGGCTCCCGGCAGCCAAGAATACAGGCATAGACGAGGTGAGACGGGACGCATAGAGGGCGCTTCCCTCTGTGTGCATTGAAAAGCCGCTCTGCGTGTCTATGCCTTTCCGTGTGCTCGTCCCCCCACCCGAGCGGCCTCCCATCCCGCTCTCACCGGCCCCCTCACCGCTGTCGCAGGAGCGCACCCTCTGGGTTTCCCCTCCGGGCGACATACGCACCTGCCCGTCGCTCTGACGTCTGTCCCTCGCCCTCCACACCTGTGCTCCTCCCTCGAGACTCGGCTGGCGGACAGGCTCCCTGTGCACCCCTGGCTCTGCGCTCTCTCAGGGGGACTCTGTCTTATCCTCGTTGTGTGAGAGGCTCAGCTCATACACTGTGTGTGAACTAGCGGCTTAGTAACCCCCAGTGGCCTAGCCCTGAAACAAACAGCGTAAACAAATGTTAACTGAACTCCGGGGTCTGTGTGAGGAGCAGGGAGACCCCTGGGCCTCTGTGACCCCATAACTAAGCAGGGGCGTGGGAGGCAGACAAGACCATTCTCAGCTGCTGGGAGGCTCAGGTTGAGGCTAAACCTTTGAGGGAAGCCAGCTGACGGAGGGGGCGGCATCGTCACGGAGTCCCAGGGTTACACAAACGAGGAGCAGTGGAGAGCCTCACTCAGCAAGTGCTGGCGGGAAGCAGGTAAGGTGGCTGCTGGCCTGCGGGGGAGTCGCTGGGAGCCAATGGCTTATCACTGGCCGGGCCCTTGTGTCCTGCGCATGAGGCTGGATTGTGTGTAGTTAGTGACGGGCCAGAGCCACAGGGCACAGCCCGGCCGGAGGCAGCACACCCTCCAGGTGGGATGGAGGCAGCACCAGGAAGCAGGACATGAAATCAGGAAAAGCACAAAACGGGAGCCAAGGGGAGATGCAGCCACGGAACCCAACGCCACAAAGCAGAGGACAAATGCAAGACAAGGCGCGGAGACGGCGTGGGGGCTGCTGGGGGCTGAGCGAGGACACCCTGGGGTGGCAGCTAGAGCAGGAGGCAGGTTGGCGCGGACCGAAGACGAATGGGAGCCTGAGAAAACGAGATCGGACAGCTGAGATGGAAGAGGAGTTGAGAAGAGGAGCCGAGAGCGCCCGGGGCTGGGACGCCTGAGCAAGTTTATAGCCTAAAGGGGCGTCGGTGGGAAAAGGGGCTGAAAGTGCAGGAGGCGGAGGAAGGTCTGTCGAGCCGGGCGCTGACGGGCTACATTCATCGCAACACGAAGACATGTCTGGACGGGAGGGAGGGCACTTTCCACTGAGACGGGGCTGAGAGGCTGAGAGGCTGAGAGGCTGAGAGGCTGAGAGGCTGGGGGCGGGGGCGCGAATGGAGGTGGGTGTGCGGGGAGAGGGCAGTCGGGGTGCTCCTGGTAGATGCTCTTTTCTCCATGAAATAAGCAGCTGGATTGCAGGCAGCAAAGGGCAGGGGCAGCAGGAAGCCCTGGACAGCGGGGAGCAGGGGAGGGGGTGTCACCTCAGGGAGGGAGGAGGCTGAGGACAGGCAGGACGCTCCAGCCGCACCAGGACCCGCCAGACAAGGACCCATGGCCGCCAGATGACCAGTGGCCCGGTCCGAAGGCCAGGCCCATGCTCCCAGAAGCTGGGAGGAGTGGAGTTTGGAGCAAGAAGACTTGAATGAAAGCACAAGCGAGAGCTGACAGTGTGGGCAGCGGAAGGAGAAGGAGCCTGTGAAAGACATGTGATCGATGAAACACGCGTGTACTTTGTGCCCAAACCAGGACCCTTGAGGATTAAAGATGGCATGAGAGATAGTAATCACAGGCGACCCATGGGAACGTTAGCCCAGGTGGGAAATTAAGTCAAAACAGAACAGGTCACAAAGAGATGGGCAAAACCTCTCTCTGCCTGTAGACGGCGTGGGTGGAGGGAGATGGGAGGACCGAGCGACAGGCCAGTGGGGTCCTGGGTTTTGTTTGTGGAAGAGGAGCAGGTGCGGACACTGACAGGTGTGCATAGGGGCTGCTCAGGGCAGAGCGGGTGCAGGGAGGGACGGTGGGGACAGTGTGACAGAACTGCTGGTCCACGTGATAGTTCCACATTCCTGCTGCTGGTGCAGAGTGGATTTAGTGCCGGAGCCGAAGCCTCCAAGGCTCCTGGGATGGGGATGGTGATGGTGCTGACACACGGGGGGCCGATGAGAGAAGGAAAGAGTCGGGGACCTAAAAGAGAAGCCAGAAGGACCCAGTGAGAGAAGAGCCCTAGGTGCTGTCTTCTGGGGAGCCAATCAGAGAGGCGGGATTAACCATCTGCTGAGCACAGAGAACCAGCCGTGCTCACGTCTCCAATGATTAGAAAGGTGGACATAGGTCGAATTACACAGAGGAACAGAGACCAGATCTTGGTGCTGCATGAGCTGTGGGGATTTTATTAAGTTCCCTACCCTTTTTGTACCGCAATTTCCATGTGATAAGGTCCCTAACTCTGTCACATTTTCATGGGCATCACATAGATGCAATGGCTGAGGGGACCTGTGGTCAACAACCCATTCAACAATGTCGTTGTGAGGACACTCTGTGGGGTTGGTGCTCTGGGTAGAACTGAAGGACCCACAGAGCAGATACAAATGTCCTGGGGAGCAGCTCCCGGGGTGAAATATCTCCATGACTGCGGACTTACAGGAACCCTCCGCCAGGAAATGCTCAGTGTCAGTGCAGCCCAGCACTACACTCCAATGAGATCCGGTCCGAACTCATTAGCAATTCCTTAGCCGGTCAAAGCGTTGAGTGGAGCTCATTTAATAGGCTCATTCCAGACAGACACGCCCCGCCCTCCCCAGAACTTTGACTCCTGGACTGAGCTTTGTACACACGTGTTCCGATGAGTAGATCATCGATGGGCACTGTTCTCATTGACGTGTCCTTGGCTCAAGACAAGGCCCAGGCGACACAAAACAAACACGGTTCCCAGTAAGAGTGAGAGACTCTATACTAATGGTCGTTAACTACCGAGTCCTCCCATGATCCACTGAAAGGAGTGACCTTCACATACTGGGTGTTAAGTGAATGTTTCCTGCGTGAGTCACAGACCCGATGGCATTCCCAGGCCTTTCCTGGCTGATATAAAGCTTCCAGGGGAGGAGGCGACATTCACACTCAGAAACGTCCCTCTTCGCCTCAACCCAACCCTCACCCTCCGCCAGCATGTGCTGCAACTACTACGGGAACTCCTACGGGGGCTGTGGCTACGGCTGTGGCTATGGCTCTGGATATGGCTGTGGCTATGGCTCTGGCTATGGCTGTGGCTATGGCTCTGGTTATGGCTGTGGATATGGCTCTGGCTATGGCTGTGGCTATGGCTCTGGCTATGGCTGTGGCTACGGCTCTGGGTATGGCTGTGGCTATGGATCCAGATATGGTTGTGGATATGGATCTGGCTATGGCTGTGGCTATGGCTCTGGCTACGGCTGTGGCTATGGCTGTGGCTATGGATCTGGCTATGGCTCTGGATACGGCTGTGGCTACGGCTCTGCTTATGGCAGTGGCTGCTGTACCTTCCGACCATGCTGCTACCGACGATGCTATTCCTCTTGCTGCTAGAACATCGCCAAGAACACTCTGCGCCTCCAACATAAGATTGAAAATTAATGCTTTTCCCCAAATGATGCCCCATTCATCATCTCTACACTCCAGTGGGGATTGGACACTTCCTGTTTTTACATCCAAGTCTTGTTGTTATTGAGGAAGTAGGAATGCGTCCCTTGTGGGACCTGAACATGGAAGACGTGACTGTGATTACGTTCCCAGTGTCCACGTTCTGCCTTTCTACCCTATGAAGTTGTGTTGTCCAGGAACACAAATACGCCAGAGTTGGAAGACATTATTCTTTTTCAATAAACAAACTTGATGTGACGTAAGTAACTGTGTTTGTGTCAGAATCGTCACTCTCCCTGTGGCCTTCCCAGAAGGCTGTTCAGCCACCTTGTCCACCGATCCTGGGGTTTCTTATTCCGTCATCGACTGCATGTGCCATTCTCTCACCAGCACACATGGTCCTGTTTACTGCAGGTCGCAGTAGGTCTTAGTGCTGGGTGATGTGCGTGTTCCAACCTGCTCCTCTTCACAATTTTCGTGGCTCTTCTGGTTTCTTTGTTTTCCATCTAAACTTTAGAATCAGCTTGTCAAAATCTACAAAAACACCCTGCTGAGAGTTTTATGGGGATGGAATGGAATCCATTCACCAATTGTGGGGGAGTGGATTCTTCACACTATTGAGTCGTTTGGTCCATAAACATGGTGTGTGGGTCCCCTTTTATTTCTGTGGCGGGTTCTCATTCAAAATTCAATGATGAGCATTGTACTCACTGAAGGCATATTCTGGATGGGGAGGCATATAGCAGTGCAAAATCAAGGACACATCTAAATAACTAAATACAAATAGTAAATTAACAGAATTATAAAAGGTGTTTATAATAACTAATGTCATAAACAGTGGGTTGCTATGAAATATCACATGGCCTATAAAACTCACTGAAGAAACAGACACTCTTCACAGGCTTGTAACTTCTAAATACATTGAACCAATAATAACCCTCCAGAAGAGAAAGCTTCACGGGAAAATTCTACAAAATTTTAAAGAATAAGTTACACCAATTCTCTACAATCACATCCAGAAATAAAATCCAAGGGAAAAACTTACCAACTCATTCAATGAGGTCACCATTACCTTAATACCAACACCAGGGAAAGACATTACAAAAATAAAAACTACAGACAAATATCTGGATGGACATAGATACAAATTGTACAAATGAACATGGTACAAAAATTAAGTATCAGCTATTTGACTCTAGCATTGTGTAAGAAGAATTATACACATACACCTCACGAGATATACCCCAATTATGCAACGGTGGTTCAGTGCTCAAAAATGAATTCATGTAATTTAGTACATTAGCAGCCTGAAGAAGAAAAATCACATGATCGGTTCAATATGTAACAAAATCCAACATCCAGTCATGAATAAAATGTTCCCGTAATCAGGGAAAAACGGAACTTCCTCAATGTGATGGAGAATCTAATATGTACACAAATCCTATCAGCAGCATCACGCACACTTAACAGCAAGAAACCAGACATTTCCCGCTGCCATCAGGAGCAAGGCAAGGACGTTCTCTCCGTGTTTCTCCTCGTGTCATATTGGAAAACCTTGCTGATCAATAACACAAGATAAAGAAATAAAAGTCATGTTTATGAGAGAAAGAAAGAAAAAAACGATGAATAAATGAAAGGAAGGATGGAAGGAAGGAAGGAAGGAGGGAAGGAAGGAAGGAAGGAAGGAAGGAAGGAAGGAAGGAAGGAGGGATTTCACCAAAGTGATTGTAACGTTTCCATGGCGAGGGGTGCCCAGAACAGCCAGCACAATATCGAGGGAAGGAACCAGTTGGAGAACAAACTCTACCCAACTTCATTCTCACGATGAAGACACAGGCATCAGCACAGGGAGGCTATTCCTGAAGAAATGGAACTGACTGTTATAAGTGAGATCTATGCGTAGTCTCATTCGCCACATTTATTAACCAGTTAACAGAGGACATTTCATTGTGTGCTATGAACAGAGAACGAACATATGTGATCCCTGCTTTCTAAAAGTGTGGGAAACGCAAATAATACACGAGCTACAAAATGGAATGATTGCTCTAATATGATGACACACAGGGGTGCCTGGGAAATGCAGAGGAAGAAGTCAGAGGAGAGGCCAGGACGAAGAGTAAGAAGAGAGAGGGGTTGGGAATCTACCTGAAGAAGAGACCAACTTCCAGCTTAAACAGGAAGGGAGTGGGTCAGAGTCGGCCAACCACACACGAAGGGAAATAGCTTTGAGGACGGGAGATGATGCCCAGATGCTGACCCCGCATTGTGGTCGCCCCCTCTATCCCAGAGGAGATGCCATAGTTTGGCGTCAGGAAGACCTCGGCAGGCGCAGCAGTGAGCGTCCAGGCTGACCCCCAGGGACACCCAGCCACGTGTAGCGGCCTCCCATGCAGCGTGGGAAGGACCAGCACGTGCCTCTCACGTTGGGAAAAAAAAACTCACTTTTATGATCATGTTATGCTTGGGGCTGGTATGAAAAATTCAAGATGAATAAATTGAATTTCAGTTTTTAAAATGATAACTTTTTAGCATAAATATGTCTCGTGCTCTCTCAGGGACAGACGTGCCAATGGGCAACTCCAGTTAAATGATATGCCAACCAGATTCCCCTTTGTCCTGGCTGACCCCTTGGGTGTGACCTTGTGAGAATTAGAGCCGAGATGCCAGTCAGGCTGAGCTCAGACCACAGACCCACAAGGCCTGTGAGATCACAGGTGGGCGCTGCCCCTGCTGCTCCTGTGAGGTCACTACGACAGGCCCCTCACGGTCCTCTCTGTGACCTGGGGGGTTCAGGAGGCGTGGGTGACCTGGGGGTCAGGTCTGCGCATCAACAGGGGTCAGGAGGCCAGTCATGGGGATGATGTCAGAGACAAAGCCCCTGGAGGGACAGGGAGACTTGGGGTTGGGGGGGTACCCTCAGCCATGCCTGAGGGTTCTGGCTCCTGCACAAAGTGCTGAAGGAAAGTTCATGCAGGACCCAGAGTGTCCCCGGGAAGAATGAGAGACTCGGAGGTGACCGGGGGCATTATAACAGGGTAACTTTACCAAGAAAATGGACCCTTGTAGGAAATGATGAGCCCCCTGTAACGGCAAGTGCGCACGTCTGCAATGGTTAGAAAGGGGGGCATATGGCACATTACAAAGTGAACAGAGACCTGATCTTGGTGCTGCATGAGCTGTGTGCATTTTAGTAAGTTCCCTAACCTTTTGTACCTCAATTTCCATGTGATAAGGTCCCTAACTCTGTCACATTTTCATGGGCATCACATAGATGCAATGTCTGAGGGACCTGTGGTCAACAACACGTTCAACAATGTCGTTGTGAGGACACTCTGTGGGGTTGGTGCTCTGGGTAGAACTGCAGGACCCACGGAGGGGATACAAAAGTCCTGGGGAGTGGCTCCCGAGGTAAAACAGGCCACAACCAAGCATCTCCATGAGTGCGGACTTACAGGAACCCTCTGCCAGGAAATGCTCAGTGCGAGTGCAGCCCAGCCTTGCCCGCCAGTGAGATCCAGTCCGGACTCATTAGCATAAACTTAGCTGTCAAAGCGTTGAGTGGAGCTCATTTAATAGGCTCATTCCAGACAGACACGCCCCGCCCTCCCCAGAACCTTGACTCCTGGACTGAGCTTTGTACCCACGAGTTCCGATGAGTAGATCATCGATGGGCACTGTTCTCATTGACATGTCATTGGCTCAAGACAAGGCCCAGGCGACACAAAACAAACACGGTTCCCAATAAGAGTGAGAGACTCTATACTAATGGTCGTTAACTACCGAGTCCTCCCATGATCCACTGACAGGAGTGACCTGCACATACCGGGTGTTAAGTGAATGTTTCCTGCGTGAGTCACAGACGCGATGGCATTCCCGGGCCTTTCCTGGCGGATATAAAGCTTCCAGGGGAGGAGGCGACATTCACACTCAGAAACGTCCCTCTTCGCCTCAACCCAACCCTCACCCTCCGCCAGCATGTGCTGCAACTACTACGGGAACTCCTACGGGGGCTGTGGCTACGGCTGTGGCTATGGCTCTGGTTATGGCTGTGGCTATGGCTCTGGCTATGGCTGTGGCTATGGCTCTGGTTATGGCTGTGGCTACGGCTCTGGGTATGGCTGTGGCTATGGATCCAGATATGGTTGTGGATATGGATCTGGATATGGCTGTGGCTACGACTCTGGCTACGGCTGTGGCTATGGCTGTGGCTATGGATCTGGCTATGGCTCTGGATACGGCTGTGGCTACGGCTCTGGCTATGGCAGTGGCTGCTGTACCTTCCGACCATGCTGCTACCGACGATGCTATTCTTCTTGCTGCTAGAACATCACCTAGAACACTCTGCGCCTCCAACATAAGATTGAAAATTAATGCTTTTCCCCAAATGATGCCCCATTCATCATCTCTACACTCCAGTGGGGATTGGACACTTCCTGTTTTCACATCCAAGTCTTGTTGTTATTGAGGAAGTAGGAATGCGTCCCTTGTGGGACCTGAACACGGAAGACGTGACTGTGATTACGTTCCCAGTGTCCACGTTCTGCCTTTCTACCCTATGAAGTTGTGCTGTCCAGGAACACAAATACGCCAGAGTTGGAAGACATTATTCTTTTTCAATAAACAAACTTGATGTGACGTAAGTAACTGTGTTTGTGTCAGAATCGTCACT